AACGCCTTGATCCAGCGAAGGATTTTCCCTTGAATCCCGTAAGATTGTGGAGCAGCGGGAAGTGTGGGGCCCTATCAAATGCTTTCGAGAAGTCGAAAAATATGGCATCCGATATGAGTCCTTTGTCCTTGGCGTGGGTTAAGCTGTCCATAATCCGTGTTGAGCTGGAGATATCAGGTTGCTGGAAGTAAGGTGATCCAGGATAGCGCGCTTCAGAGTGCGTTCCATCACCTTGCACGGCACGCTAGTGGGGATCATAGACCTGTAGCTGCCAAACGATACTCGGTCATCAGATTTGTAGATTGGCGTGACAATCGCTTCCTTCCAAGCAGAGGGAAGGCGGCCTTCGTCAGTTGACTGACGAAACACCAGGCAAGCTTTCGAAGCTATGTACGTTTATATTTCCGATATAGCTACCTGGATGTGTCATTCACAGAATCGACTCGGATTCCTCGGAACGTAAGAAGATGCTACGTCAGTATATCAATCGCATAGTTGAAAATCACAGCTTTTAGACTAGTTTGAAAATTAAACCATGCCACAAAGTACAACCGCATTGCGCCTGAAGCAGAAAGGATTTTTTTGCACTCGAATAACCCCAAAACTTCTGGGATAGGTGGGCTCCATTCTAGGTACCCTATCATCTGAAGCTAGGTTATGACGCTTCTTGATGTTTAACACAACATAATCTTCTGCCAACTCATTGTGACGAATAATATATAGCAAAAAATAAACGAAGTCAGTTAGGTAGATTATTAATAATTCAGCGATCTTTTGCAATCATCTCTTTAAAACAAGAAAAGGCCGCAATCGCATCGATGGTTAGTCAGCTTGGAATGACATCATCGGTATCATCATATGATGTCCTGCAGGCTGTGATTATAATGATCCATCATTATAATCATATTCAGCATGACATTCGTTTTCGACACCGATGTTTTGCTGCTGTGCATCCACGAGTTATTTTTAAACCTTTTTGTGAAGAAAAGAACGAGAGTGGATGGACGGGAGACTTAGATCTAACTTACTACAACCATTCCGAGATGCCAACACCTCAGTGAACTCATTCAGAATATCTGGATAGAAACCGACACAAGCGCTACGGACATTGATTGGCAGCCACATCTAGCAGCGTTCTCAACTAAGTTCAGCGGGGATCACACGGTCCCTATCCTGAAAAGCGAGTAGCACATTTCGCAATAACTTTCATACCCCTCGGATGGCTCAAGGGTTGGATACCTCTCTGCTTCTGCCACTCTAAATTGGGCCAGGAACATAGCACTGCCTTCAGCAAACGATGGTTTGGCACACGCAACACACGACCCAACGAACGTTGCTTCTGGTGCTGGATACATTCTTTAATGGAATTCTTAGATGAAGAGCCAAGAACATGCTTCCTACTTGCCTCATCACGGATTCATTGACACCAACATACACGAACTATGGTTCTGAAACAACTGTTGTTGAACACCTGCGTCCCTTGAGATTCACGTATATACAGCTTTGACGTTGCAGATGTTTCAGCTTAGCGAATGTAACCCACAGACTCGTGCATTAAACCTTACTGTCACTACATTTCCAAACTTTGCGCACAAATTTGGACGTTTTCTTTCTAGCTGTAAGTTGCGTATTAAGTGACTGCATGTCCGGAAGCGTGACATCATATTTTGTGGGTACACAGTGCAAACAAAAGGACGAGATGACTGTGGACAGTTCATTAAAAAAACCCAAGGCCATTTCCTCCTCCTTGCAAGCGAAAATGATATCGTCTGCATATTCCAGATTGAAGATTTCCTCAGCTGCTTTTTGAGCGCTTGAGTTTTAAAGACCTAGCGTTCGTTTCATTTTCCTATCGATTAAGACATTAGGTAGGAATGGAGACAGTGGTCGCTCAAAATGGACACGACTTTGTGTTGGAAAGGTTTTGAAGAGCCCTGTTCAAACTACCACATGCCTGTAGGTCTCGGGATACAAAGCATTTGTTATGTTCACAGACCCGGGAATTTCTCGCTAAGGAGCACAAACTAGTTAGCTGATTTAAACGCACCTCAAAAAAATCCAATATTATCAAAATTGTGGGTCGTATGACGTTGTTTTCACACATGGTGGGGTGTGAAGATTTGATCAACGCAAGTCCTACCAGGCTGGAGTTCAGCCTGTTGTTCTCAAGCCTGTGACCGAACAAACGTCATCTTGTTTTAATTAAACACCCATAAAAAAGGAGGTAGTGTCAGCAAGAACTACACCTGGGTCAAATATATCGTTTAAAAAACAACGGAAATGTAAGGGAACTGTCATTGGTTTTCACTGACTGTAGAAGTGTTATCATTTAACTCACATGGTGGTTTTGAATTATTATAAGAATCTGTCAAAATCCCAATATTTGTACTGAGAGCTTATCAATCAGGGTATGAGGATTAATCTGGCACACCATAGCGGGCTAATAATTATTTTGTGTTGCAATTTTCACACTTTGATCATCTCAAAAAAGTTTCAAAAATAACATTTCTAAGCACGAAAATTGGATGCTTTTATGGTGATGTACAGATTTCTTTAATGTAAGTTTGGTAGTTGGATAAAAAATGTCCGTAAAATTAGTTCTCAAAGTTTAGGGAGTTTAAACTAGGTGACGGACATAGGAGTATCTTGTGCACTACTATACCAAACTTGTATCAGAGAGAGGAATTTTATCCAAAAATGAGTTTCTATAAAAAATCACAAACAACCATAGGGCAGAAGATTTAGACTATTTTGTTTGTTAAATTTTCCAAACTGACAAGATATGAAAGCATGAAAACATTGCTTTTGATTAACCCAAACGAATACCACCACTCATAAAAATGAATCAAGCGGTTTAATAAGAGAGGCAGACTTCTAAACAAGCAGTGCATGTTTTGCGTTGTTGCAAGAACAAAGATAGTTTGGGTGCAACCATTATCAAAATCATCATCATCATCGCTATTCGTTGCAAATACCACATATATGTTGTGCAGTGATAATAGCTGCCATTTTGTTTTGACTGCCAATGATCCGAAAAGATGTGGTGGATGGCTACATACTGAAGTAAGTAGCCAGTGCAATTGATGCAAGGACCCAGAATTGCCAGTGGCCTTTTTTTTCTCTTGGTCTTTTTAGATGAACAGGAGAATGTCTGTGTTGAAGGCAACAAATTAGATACCTGCGCTATACTGAGCTTTCCATCAAGCCATGTCTCTTAATGTCTCTCACCATTGATATGTTTCATCTCGGGATCTCAATCCAAGAAGACGGCATTTATCAGCGCAGCTGAGTTTGATGGTGATGACCATCAAGCTTTGCAGTCAGGTCATTGTTTGACCTCCCAGGGCTCATTTCTACCCTCTACATGATTGTACAAAAGGGGCTCTTTGACAGAATAATATTGGTTAAACTCTTGCGGCGCGCTTAGAAGCGTTCATCAGTAAAGGAAGTTGGTGAGGATTTTTGGTGGTTTTGAAACTATCTGGTTTAAAAGATCAGATTTGTGGGAATTTCAAAAGAATACAGACTGAATCAGAACACCTAAAAACCTTTTTGATTAACATATTTGGTGTTGAAAACTCCACATTGTTCCATATGACGTCTCTGTGGGATACTTACCACCAAGTACTCAAAAACCCCACTATTAACTTAGTTCCTTTGTCTACTGGGTGCTGGGCAGTCCAGATGTAAGTTCCGTTGTAAACCTCGGATGATAGTTTATCAGGGTTATAAAATGAACCAACCAAACTTGTTGTTCTGAAGAGTGATATCAGTTTATCCATCAAGGATCGAGCTTACAATGCTGCGCTGTAATTCCCACTGCTATACGGGTCAGAAACCTGGCCGCTTTGTGCGGACGACCTCGAAAGTCTTTCAGTGTTTGAGCATAAATCTCTTTGAGGCATTATTCGCTTCTAATGAGAACACAGGATTAGCAATGCTGAGGTATGTTGAATGATAATAGGAAGAAATAACTCGCACACGCTAAATAATCTTATCACACTTCACGGGTTGCGCTGGCCTGGCTACTTGCTCCGTATTCCAGTCAACCGACATTTTTGGAGGATTTTTTTTGAAAAACCACGAAAAGGGTAGGAGCGAGCCAGAGAAGGTCAAACAATGACTTGACAACAACGTATAGAAATAATTACCGGCAAACTGAGCTGCGATGTTGTCTCCCTGAACGGGGACCCCAAGACTGGCTACATCAATATTTGGAGACATTGTCAGACATGGCCCAGTAGTGCTCCAAATAATGCTAATGCATCCAAGCTATTGCACCTAGTGCATAGCTCCCCTTCCAACCCATTTACTTAAAAGTCGACTGACAGACCTGTTTTTAAGCACCAATTCATCAGCTCCCGCCTTCAATTAGAAGGCACCTGCCCCAGATCCACCAATCATCTGTGGACAAAATTGTGGCAGTTAGAACCACTGTACGATGAGTACGCGGTTCTTACGGCTGATAACAATAGCTGACAAGATTTGTGCAATGAGTTTGAGATGACCAGGTTACTAGCAAACAAGTGAGCTCGATGAACGGCATATGTTGAAACCGTGTCGAGTTTCGAACGTGAGCACTTATGAAGGAAAGATAATGTCTCGATATTTGGCAGACAGATGGCTTTTGATTAACTTCTTCCCTCAAACTGGCCTTCTGACTTTTATGAAATAAAATTTTGAACACAAGTCTTGTGTTCCTGCGCAACGAAACATCATTTTTGGCCATCGTATCACTTTACACATACAGTGTCTTTATACTTGTGAGGAGCCACTGTCATGTTCGTTGCAGTCAGTCTTAATGTCGTTTCTCCGTGTTAAGTCACTCGTTTATTATCGCCAGAAGGTTTGTTTTGCGTCAAATTATGCGGTAGGTGTTGATTATCCGCGACCGTACTGATGAATTTAAGTCAAAAGATAAAGCTCAATAAACTTGCAACTTTAAAGTAAAAAATAATGTTCCATTTTCTTGCTTTTAGCTGCAAATTACAAAATGGATCAAGAGGATGATTCGTTTACCTCCTTCTTTACGGAGTTACAATTTGCTGAGACCGGACCAACGGACAACTGCAATGATCAAATACTCCTCGATAAGTTACGCGCACAGACTGAGGCCCTTGATCAAATTCTGCTTGAGAGAGTGAAGAAAGAGAATAAGGTTGTAACTATTTGCGCGTTCTAGTAACAACGTGTAGGATCTGACTTTTCCATGTGGTTTGCCGTCATTTCTTATGCAGAACAACTTCAACTGAAACCTTTTTTGTTATAACCAGTTATCGCACATCAGTAGACAACATGGTAGCCTGATATCAAGGAGGAGTGTTGCAAGTCTGTCAAGGAGATGTGATTGGGAATATTAACGAGGAGGTAATCAGGAGTAATGAAAATTAACTGGCTATAGCCCATGTCAAAAAGCTGATTTAACCTCCGAGTTTTTCAAAACGACAAATTATTAGGAACCTTTATCAGGAATATCCCAAACAGCGTAAAACATGACAATCACAGCAGTGAAAAAAAAGATTGAGTTCCTACGTTATGAAAGTACCTGCATGGACTTCAAGTTGTTTACAGTCACATATAACATTCGTGTATTACAGACCGGGTGTCATCCTGGGAAAATTACTGTAGAAACGAAGGACAAAGTCGCATACTAAAATGAAACCATTTGAGCAGGGGGCACTGCAGAGTTTCAAAACGGGTCACGGGAAACAGCGAGGACGTAGCCCGTGTTCTTCAGTTTTCACACATGAAAATTGAGTAAGGCAGTTTCTTCCTAAAGGGCGCAGAAGATCTGGAAAATTGGATTAAAAAGCCTGTCGGGATATTTCTAAAAGCCCAGTAACCTACATGTAGTTCATACAGCCCTGCTAGCTATAGCTCACCAACTCAGTCGGTTACCTCTACCAGGACTAAACGCCAGCCGAATGTATCGGATGATCATCCTCAACAGTAAGCGGGCAAAACGCACTAATTAAGGAGATTAACTTCTTTGCTCCACTCGGAACACGGGACGTTGATCCAACTATCTGAATTTCGAGCCGAACAATCAGTTACTATTGAAGGTTAAACTTATTTGAACCAACGCTCGTAAACTAATGCACACCACACCAACGCATTGTCCAGTTCCACCAAACGATAGCACACCGACTAAGCCACCTGTTCTGGTATGCAACAGAATAGGCAAGCTCAGAGAACAACTCGAACGCCAATATGGTTTACCGTTTCCACCGTTCGAGTAAGGAATATGAAACGAGTGGACGACTGGCATAACTGTTCGATAACTGTTTCTCTGTACAAGCTTTTACACCCTCCACTAAAGTGAGGATTTTGAAATGTCATCCCAACTAGCTGTGAAATATAGTCAGATGTAAAATCTTACTCGCCACTTCGTGTGGTGAATGGAGTTCAATCTATTGGACCGTAAGATGGCTAACCTCCCAAAGGGCTAATTTTATCCTTAGCGAGATTACCCTGTTTCATTGAGTTGTATACCAGTCATATATTGAAAGACAGCACTGACATAGCCTGATTTTCAGCACTTTGTTGACACTGTCACATTCACATCCTCAATCGTTTTTACTCCTTAAATTAAGCGGAGACTATAGTAAAATCTATTTGGCTTTCTGTAAAAGAGTAAAGTATAGCCGATGGTGTGAATGTGTAGCGATCAGTTAATGTCAATGTTACTCAAATTTTGAACATCCATTTCCAGTTGGTCGATGTAGCAAGAAATTTGAGGTGTACATCTTCAAATAGAAGGCCGCTATTACGCTACAATATAGTGTTATAGGATGTTTCAGCGCAGGCTTCATTAACATTAGATCGTTGATAATTTCGTTCCCCGTGGGATGTACGTTGCAGCTGTGAGCTGACGCGTAACATATACTTAATGTACTGCAGATAAGATTCTTATACCTCTCTTTTCCTTTTATGATTCCTTCTCCGAAGATCGGACACGCATAGTAAACAAAAATACAATGTCTTTGGAGTGATGAAACAGAGCAAACCGAAGTTACCTACTTAATGGGTTGAAATTGAGAGGGGGAGTTGATCAGCTGATCCGTTCACCAAGCTTAGAGGTTAGATTTTATACTAGTTGCCAGGAGGAACCCAATGGGTTTTCCGCGCAAGCCTTTGAAAGCGTGCAGAGTTTCAGTCATTCGTTCCTCTCTGATTCTTTCATTTATTTTTGAATACACTTATATATAATATCCTTTCCTCCGTGCTGAAAGTAAGGAATGTCTTCAACATTGGCCAGAAATCAGTAAAAAGTTATGTTGTCGTTGGCTCAACTAATAAGAGATGGAGTTGACGCGAAGTAAGATGTAGTTTCTGTCAAAAAGCTGCTGATCACAGGTACGTCCCTCATCCTGCTGAAGGACTGAATGCTGAAGTCGTTACACTGCTGTACAGACATTTGCTCACTCGCAATGCTAGTTATCACTCTTAGGGATGGAGATGAGAACAAGCACACGTTGTGGGCAAAGGGTTCATGGACAAAGAAAAAACGGTGGTACAGGTCTTCTGTGCTCTGAAACGTCAACGATCGATCGTTTAGTTTTGGAAAACCGGCAATATATTCAAGTACGCGAGAACCTGGAAATGCTCGACTCTTAATTTTTTTGCAATCTGCGCTGCACACATGCAATGCTAAGTTTCTCTCTTGGAAGATAGCGTCCTATCTCATAAGCCCCAACAGCTTCCGATAGAAGAATTCACCACCATTCCGGACGGAGCTTTCTACTAATCGTTATCTGTGTGTAAAAGTCCGAGAAGAGATTGTTTTACAGAGAAAATTTCTGAAGGTTGGGAGCTAGTTACTTTGAATTTGTCAAACGGCAGTCTCAAATGAAGCTTCAGTAATTGGGGCTTATCGCGCTCTCTACTCGTACAGTATTGTTTTTTGCGCAACGAATCCCAGAATAGCAAGCAAACATACCACCTTACACCAGTTTTTCGAAACCGCGAAACCCTGGTTCAGACACAATGTTTTTAACTTCAGTTTAGACTAATCCTTATATAATGAAATGGCATGCTTATTGCAAAAAAGGAAAATGCTTTTTCTTATTCAGGTGAAACAACAAAGTAAAGTCATCCACCAACAGATACGGCAGGAGCTGATGCAAATTGTGGGGAGGCTCACGGAATCCACTAAAAATCAACGAAGTGGCAAACGGCGAAAATCTTACTTCAGATCGTCCATCTCTTCTCCTAATATTCTACCCAACCTAAACATCTTTTCGGACAAGAGCAATGCTCTCGTATCGGTTCCAGTTTGTGACAACGCAATGGTGCCGTCTTACAAACAGAATGACTTGTCTCATGAGATATTGAGGAACATCACATGTTTTCTTGACCTGGATCGTACAGTCTTCACTCAAGCGGATGACAACTGTGAGTTTAAAATTTCCAGTTGTTTAATCCCTCAGTATATTCACATCGAAAATACTGTAGATTAAATAATGAGAATGCGCGTGAGCCAAAGTTTGACTTGCCGATTCCTCCAGGCATTCATGTGAGAACGATTTAAATTCAGACTCATTTGTACGGCCGTTCATCTCATGTCCGGCTTCTGACTTTTGAACCAGCCTTCCATGTTCCATGTACCTCGTTCTTCATTTTAGCGGTATAACCACATATGGACTATCCGCTGGTTTGATTCACACTCCGGTAAACTAACAAAAGCGATCAGTATGTAAATGCTCAGCTGTGTACTCACAGGATCGTAACCAGCACTTACCTCGAGGAACGTGAGCTTACCACATGATTAGAGAAAACAGACATGTCAGAATCTTCGGGTACCGGTTTCAGTGTTTAACAGCTATGGTATACTTTTCGTTGAATATGACTTGTACCAAATTACGGTATGAAAGGCCGTCTCTTATAAAATCACCCACATCGGCTTAGACCAGCTGACAGGACTGGTTTTTAGGTGGTCCTCTGAATTCTGTGATAGTTTATGAGGTGAGTACCATCCAAAGAATATCTTTTCTTCGATTGCTGTGACGAACACCTCTATCCGGATCGATAGAGTACTGACAGTACAAGCAATGGTGTCTGGATTTCGCACATTGTATCTTATTATGCATAAGATGCTTATCCCTGTAATTGGCACAGTAGAAATGCTGAGGTTTCCGGCTAGTGTCATCAGAGTAAAAAATAAGAAAAACGGTCAAACGCTCAAAGATTATTTGACAAAACCAGTCACGGATATCCAGAGGAAGTCACCAAAGTCGCGGTAAACTATATCGCGATATCTCGAATATCGTAGCGACTGAAACATGAAGCGGCCTGGTGCAGCACATTCAGTTACCTGGTTTTAAGTAGAACATAGGGTTGACGGAAACTCGGAGACTGCGCCTATCCGATGAGCCCCAAGAAGGGCGAAACCGGTCGTGGGCTGTTGAGGACCTTTCAGCAACCTTATGAGTAGTGCATTACAAAAATATATATGTAACGCGGTAAACTTCTTTGAAGGTCATCAGTTTGAGATAGTCATGCTGGGCTGCTCAATAGGGAGTGCAGTTTTCACCACGCAAGTAGAGTTAAACTCGGTAGGAGTGCTGTAAGAATAATAAACGTTAAACTATTCATGCTGAAAAATGCTTTTACTTCTATGTCTCGCCATAAAGTATGTACCCTAAATTTGTGGAAGTGGAAGTCTGTCATTAGGTTTGCCATATGACGTGAACTGTTCCTACCGACTCCGTCAGCTGCCGCGATCTTTTTTCGAAGAATGTTGGAGCCTTTGAAAGTATACAAGCAAAAGCGTATGCAAGACACGAGTTTGAAAAGTACTTTTGAAGGAAATTTGTTTGATGTTGCCTAAATGTTTTCTGGCCTAACACGTGCGTATGATCATCAGTTCTATAGCCAGCTTCATTGCAACCATCCTTCAAGCTACGGCGACAACCACCATTCCGCTTGAATTCCCAAGCTTAAGGTAGCTAGTCAGTTGGGCTGCCTTAGTTCAGAGGTAGTGAAGTGCGTGTGAGTGGTGAAATTTTTCCAATTCGGTGGCTTATCCCATTAAAGAGAACGCGAAAACTTGCAGTGTTTTGTCGATACAGTCCATTTAGAGAGCTGCTTTTCGCCTAAACGGACAAGAATTTTGAGCCATAAATGCAAGCCTCAAGAATGGCGATGCATTACCGTGGAAAATTTTGCAGAAAGTTTTGGATAGGCCAAGTTACGGCCCTCCTGAGCTCTGAAGAAACGCCTATTTTTGGGGAAATCTAATGAAATAAAACAGGTTGAAAGTTTCCAGGCTTGGAGTAAGTAACACTGATCATCAACGCCGCATCAGCTTTGAAGCATCATACTTCAAAGAAACTGAACAAACCGCAACATTATTCAACTTTTGAACTAGAATTTGCGAGTCTGATGACTTAGAAGGGAAGAAGAGCCCTGGGCCTTATAATGAAACAGAGGTAGGAGACTTGAGAACATGATAATTAACTTTATCGGTGGCACTGGTGGAACCATCAGGCCCCAAGCTGAGGCTGGTTTGTTCATCTTGAGTAACTTCAACTTTCAAGTGTCAGCTTCCTCCTGATTTGCCGTCATAAGCTGTTCGACCCGTCAGTTCATTGGCGGAAACGAACTTTAGAAGGAACAGACTTACTTTTGGCTTCAATTTCGCTTCCGCCCCTCGGTTAACCTGGGACGACTGGGCCTTCATTCATAACTGTTTGAGCTACTCATTAGTAGGCAAATATTTGCCATTCTTCTGAGTGCACAGTCTTTCAAAGTTGCGTCTGAAGAATGAGTAGACCGAGAAGAAAAGAACCCGGTTGGACTTTGTCCTTCCGAGTGGATCTTCGTTCTTCGCGGTAAAATCGTGTAGTTAGCGTTAAAGTGCGATTAACTTTTTCAGCGAAAACTACTTTAATTCACTGAAGCCAAAGAAAACCACCAAAGACGCAAGAATACAGAAGCCCTAAAATACTTGAATTCGCAGAAAGCCGGTTCAAGTGTGAATTGTTGGCTCATATGAAACTGAATTTTACAGTGATAGCAGCAACATTTATAAAATTGTTAGATGATTTTGCCCCTTAATATTTATCTAAAAATAACTTTTACGATTTCGAACTCTGGGCAGGCTATTGAGCCTTAGGAGAATGGGACTTTCGTATTGTTGTACAAGTTACCTCTGTTACCACCCAAGAAGGTATCAGCTTAAGATATATGGAGGATTGTGGTGTGGACTTCTGGGAATATGATTTCGCCTCTACATTTCAAGTTCTTCCGTCTTATCTTAGGCAACCGGGTGGTTGCAGGGCCTTCAGACTCTTGGAGTTGGGCGAAAACCCTTGGCCCTGGGCTGAACGGCTTTTTTCCTTCCCGGACTGAGGAGTTTCATAGTTCCTTGTAGACTTCAGTTTAGACAGAACAACAATAACCCCAGAGCACTAAGGTGCACCGTTTGCATCACTGCACAGCCAGTCCTCAGGTTACCTTGGATGAAATTGGCTGGATGTCTCCTTCGAAGCCTCCGCATCAATCAAATACTTGAATCTGCCAAACGTTTGGCAAAATAATATCACAACTGCAAGCACTAACATACATTTTTCGATCCGGCTTTTTTAGTCTTATCCCAACCGTACAATAGGAGATTACGTATCTCTTTTTTCCTATCCCACGGTGTGTACTCTTTCTGAAGTCTAGGATACGGTAGCTTCTTTTTATCTAATCGTCATGTAGCTAGACAATTAGCTGAATTGAGCTTGCTAAAAAAACCCAGGTGTTCTCATTCTGCTGAAGTTGAGATACCTCGATAAATAACATGATAATAATGATTTCCAACGTTTACGGCACAAAACTGGGTGGGGGTTAGGAGTGTGAGGGTAACTCGGGTCACCCAGGTATGCAATTACAGACATCAGACTTCTCAAGCCGTTTACATTCCGATGCCCATTCGCAGTGATTATGACAAGTTTTGACATCTATTTATCACTTGCCAAGTTCTCCTGCGCAAAATTTGAATTTGAACGAGTCTATTACTTAATCTTGCGAGTTCAAAACAGACAACCATAATTAGTATGAGCCTAACTTATTTCTCTTTCACTGCCATTATCTATAGCCACTCTGTTGGAGGACGAGCAACAAACAATGACCGACGAAGAATTCGATACTACTGCGACAGAAAGAAGTCAGGTTCCTCACTTATACCCAGAGGTAGAAGTCCGCTGACTTGATGCACCGTTTTATTGAAGCGCTGCATGTAAACAACCTCCTTTATTCAAAACATATTCGAAGCTTAAAACGAACTTGAACCTGGATTTTAGAGTACCTTTTGGCCTTACTTAGCTGAAATTTGCTCACATCCGTAAGATTAGAATTTAGTTACCCATTGATTGCAAAAGTAATATTTTACGAAATTTTTAGGTGAGTACCATCCAGACAGATCAAATATACCAGTGTAATCTAAAGCTGGATTGCCGGTTTATATTTGTGCCCTTTTTCACAAGATCCGTATGATTTGCAGAAGCATATACTCTGATGTAAGGTTAGGTTAATAGGGCGTGATAAAATTCTATGGCGCGTGAATATTTTGTCAACCCGATTCAGTTATTCAGCTATAAACTCTGCATCATAGGCACACTAGTTCCAGCTGCTGCGGTTTTTATCATCGGACAGTGTGGTACATACAGCCAAGTCTTGGAGGAAACGGCATGTTCGTTTGGTTTGGGAATTGGATAGTTACGCACTGAAGGCGATCGCTTTGATGCACGAGCACCATTGGCTGCGCGATTTGGCCGTTTCTGCCAGTGTCATTAACCATTAGTGAGATGAGTCTCGGGGTCCTCATCCAGGGAGACGGCAGTTGCCGACTAGACCAAGTTTGCTGGTTAGTGTTTTTGTACTTTGTTGTCAGGTCATACACTGACCACCCCTCGGTCGCTTCCACTCAGAACCGGGCTGGTAGAAACAAGCTTAGCTTGGCAGACGGTCTTAGTGGTGTTGATCACCAATGTGTGTTCAGTAACTCGATCAAGAATGGACCTGAGACCTTTTGCGACATCCTCATCTAACTATCTGTGCCTAGCTAGACGCTAAAACACCCCCTATTTTCCATTCCATTGTTCACACAGGTAATCAAAGATACCCCTCTTCTACACGATAGGCAAGATCATATTCAAAGGCATCCTGACCATAAACAATAAATTGGAGGTGTATTGAGTGTATGTTTTGGGCTTGGTCCATGGGTCGTGAGGAAACGAGGTCTTATTGAAGGACTCGTCGTGAATAGCCTGAGATGCAGCGCAAAATTCAATAGAGGGAGCATTGTTTTAGTGATGAACTCCAGCCTTATGTCTCAGGAGTGCGCAAATGGAAATTAGTTTGACCATCAGTTGCTAGTTATCATAACAAGTGAAACACATAGAATTGTGCCACAAAGGGATTAAAAAAATGAAACCAAGGACGCGGCAGACTTATAGTACCATTCTTTCAGACTGTTGTCTTGAACGATTCTGGCAGTTTTACCTAAGATCTCTACTCACCTCTTTCTACTTCTTCTTGAGACTGACGTTTTGACCGCTTTTATGTGATACTGGTCGCACACTGGGTTTTGATCCGAAACTCTTCTGAATACTTGTGCGCTGAATGTCTTGGTGTTTTCTAAAATTCGACTGTAATGAGGGACATAAGATAATTTGTCCATCCGCTCTAATTCAGGGAGTATAAGTCAACTTTCGGTTAGGTATGAGGTATCTTGTAGCACTGAAGGCAATGATAAGTGTAGTCTTTCGGTTATTTTACGTTTTTTGTGGTGACACAACCACATGTTAAACGCATGTATGTAGATATTTCTTAGCTACTCCCAGGTTATTTGGTCGCTATTTAACCATTTGTGATCTTTAATTGGGCACATTTTGACGGTGGGGGAGCGTGAAGCAACCATCAATAACCACTAGCTTGTAGTTAGCTTGTGGTTAGCTGGTAGCCAACAAGTAGCATTCAGTTGTGAGTAACCACATAATAACCACATGGATATCGTCCATATAACTATACTCGATCGATTTCTAACTAAAAACAACTGCACATCATTATTCAGATAGGAGTAATCATGAAATTCCACCTTATAGCTTTCCAATTTGTAGTCCTTTTTAGCAAAATTGTTGGGTAGTTTCCTTCATGAAAATACCTGTCTTATGATGAATCTGTGACAGCTTGTAAATCTCGCTTTCGTGTCCTATACAACCGAGTGATAAGCATACAGTAGCCAAATGACCAGTCATAGAGACTTCATCACAAGAGGCTACCGCATCGGAAACATGATAGAAAAAGCACGGACCTATTACAATGCATTTGTACACACATGATCAAAGGTGTATTTGGGACACAGGTCTCAGCTGGGTGGTGGATTCAATGTTAAACTCTCTTGCAACATCCGGATGGCCATTGGATTCCTGAAACACGGAACACATTAAACCTTGCACCGGCTTTCCACAAACAAAACAGATAAGCCGGTTAAGTGGAGCACAAATGGAGTAATTCACAGGTGGCATACCGAAGATCTAAATCTAGGTAACCGATGCCGTCGATTTAAAAACGAACCTCTCCCACCATCTCATCTGTTTTCCATCTTTACATTAAGCATTTCAGAGTTAGGCACAATGCCTTCTGTGAAAATAATGCCAAATAACAGACAACCAGCCTACCTCCAATGAGTATACATAGGTGCGCTTTCCTGGAATCAACTTTCTGAGACGTTTGCATAATACCCGTTTAAGATGAACCGCCTCTTGCAGCCTTCCTGCAACAAAGGATAAACTGAGACCACCAAAGTATGTTTCTCCATCTGCACTATTGCATCGGATGATTCTATGTTAGAGGTCAGTTTGTACTGCTTTTAGTGGATTTGGCCGTAAGTGGTATAGGCTAATCGGACTGACAGAAATACGGGCAAGTACGGCTTGTTAGATCAAGTGGTTGCGAACGGTCTGGTGGAAATTTTTCTCAGGGATATTAAACTCAAGGGATTCAACACCTTTGATCCTCATGGTACTGAGCAGTGCATACTTACTTGTATTCCATCTATAGATTTAATCAAGCGTTTAGTGCGATGGATTCACAGTAAGCGGCAAGAAGTTCACTTAAAATAAATCAACATGGAATTCACTGTGAGATGCTTGCAGTACCAATTGACGGTTCATTTAAACTGTGTAATAATGGTCTTACAACATAACCCTTTCCACCTGGCAGTTTTGCACATCTCGACTGAACATCAGATAATGGAATACAACAAGTAATAGCTGAAGGCTGAACGACGTTGATTATATTAAAGAGGAAAGAACAAGTGATACGCAGGATTACGAGGCAAGTCTGGGAAATTAGGAAACCAGAAAGTCGGTTGTAACTTGGTTGTTTACAGCCCTCTAGAGCTACAGGAAGTTAGCTATGGAAACGATGTATCCGGTGATTTAGCAGGCAGTATCACGTTTCTAAGTACGAAGACCGTTTGTTGATTTTGTATACAGGCTTCAAACGGACAGTGTTTGCTCCTTGCGGCATTTCTGTCGGCCGCCGTATCCAGGCTGCTCCCAAGCCCCTCAGGTTATCTGTCTGCCTGACGAGATACATGGGGCGCTCAATAGGGAAAAGAGACAAAATGTTCGGGGCAGTGTGAATAATTACACATCAGTCAGATGTTGCAGATAGTGAGCAATACTCGCCATTTATTCTTCTGAAGCATACAGCTTTTGAAAGTGATCTGCAGAAACCCAGGATGAGCCAAAGAGACCGGTTAGTGCGAGTCACCTTAGGCTGCAATGTGTCAGGAGATAAATGAATGAAAATAAGAAACGATTAAGTTTTTGTAAGCGCGGGCACCCGGCATGTCCTTCATAGCTATCGGACCAGTGTATGGCGAAAGTTATTTTGGTTGTACGAAGGAAAACCACAGGTTTTATGGGAAATATGGGCGTGCAGTGGAGAGTAGATCTTTAGCTTTCCGTAGATAAGCATAAACCTATTACCTCCCGGTGATGTAACCGTCCATAAGCTGATAGAATACGCCTGAACAAGCTAAATGCAACCGATCGATGTAGAAGCACGAAACAAATAAATGATTATAGAACTTAACGGAGGGGACGGTTGCACACATCATTCCGGACCCAGTCATCAACTGTTAAAACAGATGGAACAGAGGACATTTACTTTGGCATCACGATAGCGCCTTCTGATTTCGAGTATGTCACTTCCACAATAGGTATTAGGACTATTTGTCTGAGTTATGAGTGACTTGCTATGTTTATTGCAGACGACTGCATTCGAAACTACTTTAAGTAGCAAACCACTGATTAGGGCACCAGGAGACAATTGCTTCGAAAAATCTAAATTTACGCAGTGTAAATGTGAGTGAGCATTATCCAGTTTATGAATATCTCCGTAAAGTTTGACCCGGAAAACCGAGGTAGGTGTGGGCCTCACCATGCTAGGCAATAATGATCCAATACCCATTGCACCGTTTCTATAGATTTTCGTTTCACTCATATCAGGGTGTGAGCTTACTGGCCATTATGGTGCGTTGCGAAACGGTTCACCATAGACCTAATATCAATTTGTTGGCCAGAACGGATTTTGGTGGGAAAAAATTGAGGCGTCTTCATCAGGGTCCAAATATCACATGGCAATTCAGGCAACCTCGAGTGGAATTGCATCAGCGAACGGATGACAGTGCTAAAGGATATGATCCAATCTCGAGAAATATCGGTCATATGTGGTCTGAAATTACATAGGTTCGATTGAGGTCTTTCTTCTCAAACATATCCCCCTACTGGCAATCACATGAAAAGAAAAGTCCCTAACATGCGACCAGTCCCTTCAAAAGTTAAAAATTCAGGGCGCATTATCGCAACAACAGCTGATCAATTTTCTCGACGAAAAACAGTACGCGAGACTCCTAAATCTTTTCGACAGTCCACAACCAGCTTGTCATGTACTCTTTCTTTTCCTATCACCCATCCGTTTTGACACAAGAAGCTTTTATTTCACGTGTCACAAACATTCTGCATACAAACATAAATGGTAGGTCACATGCTTTTTCGAGAAAACTCTCGGAAACCGGTTCGTGCTCTGAAAGTAGTGGGTTGTATGTCAGTGGCCAATACATGTAAACAAAATGTCTTCTAAGCTTAACACTGGTGCGCTATGCTGAAGCCTTGGCTTAATTAAACACTTCTGAGTGTACAGGGCACTCTGTTGCGGAACCAGGCTCGTTAATGATAGGGGCACTTGGCCGTAGTCGACACGGAAAAATGACCACCTAACAGCCACGAAATTACCACTAAATTACCGAGCTTTAACCACTTGGTGGTTCAAATATGTGAACTACTGTTTCGTCGTGTTTTAGTATCCCATTCTATGATCTACTGCAGACTTTGAGCTCTGCTGATTATTGCTTCAATACATAAGCTTATAGACTTCTGACGCGAACTACTGCACTCCTAACGGGGGTAGTACAATCCCTGATATATGCTTCTAGATTATCGTAATTTCGTGTTCCGCATCCCAATAACTGTTAGAAATTCAGTGTTGTGAAGCATATGTGTTGTTGTTGTTGATCTGATATTCGCAGTCCTGAATGGATAAAACCGTGCACTAGCTAAACCAGCTGTGTGCCTCGAGTGCATCTCACGAGTGATGCAGGTCACCAGGCTACAGTCCTCAAGGACACTGCGTTTAAGCTGTTTATTTGTCTTCATATTTCTGAAACATCGGTTGGATATGCCAGTGGTTTCATAACTGCCACAGCTGACTCTTATTTCCTGGGGTTTACACTTGTAAAGGAAGCTAAGCGATGAGCATACGCACATCTGCACGAACTGTATGTGACAGTACTCAGTTTGCACCTAGATCCATCGGTGCGGTTCAATGTGTAAGGCAAATCCAAAGACGGATGCAAAACCGGAGAGTACTGTCTGTTCCTAGTTGGAAGTTCAACAGTGCTTTTACTGAAGAAGATGAACCGCTGTCACTCGTACTTCTGGAATTCTTGTACTACTGAGTACACTCAGTTATTTAGGGTTATTCTGTTGGTCAGTTCTTTCATTACAATGTTTTCAGGCAAAGGATACGTCGGACGACGTGAGTCCATTGTCAAAAGAAGATGAAGAAAAGCTAGAACAGCTTCTTAATGATACAACATATCAAGATCAGAACGAAAACCACATGTGGTGGCAAGGACAAGAAGTTCACGATGGAGAGCCACCTTCTGGTGCAGATCACTTCGTGAAGGACACACCAGTGAGTTTGCTATTCATAAATTGAAGGAAAAACTCACCAGTCGGCTATGATGAATACAAATAGTTCGTAGTTTGGCCTATTTAAGCATTTACAATGTCAGTATGTGAAAAAAGCATCCCTTCCGGTTTCCTAATCTATAGTACTACAATTCTATAATACAGAATCCTGACAGTTTAAAACTTGTTTATAATGTTGATGATGTTATTTCCCCCACGGGCAGTTCTAGTCCGACAACCTTCTAAAGCGCCACCTTTACGCTGAAGGTGGAATTAAACTAATAAATTATAAGCGGAGCGAGAGGCTTCACTTAGGTTACCCTTGAAAGGAAGAAGGCCTTGGAGGCTTCACGTTACCCTTGAAAGGAAGAAGGCCTTGGCTGCGGAGCTATTTATTCGGAAATGCCAACTGACCGGTCACAGACCATTGAATGAACAAGCAAAACTCTAATCTGCATCCTAGCTACAAAAACTGGACACGGATCTTCTCCCGAACGAGTCTTCCTAGA